TATGAGGGCGTACAAAGCCTTCTCGGTCTAATGCATACCATTGGGAAGGTTCCTAATGCATTTTCGCCACCAAGATCAACTCTATTAACATCATTTAATTTTCCATGCAATCCAAATGTAAGAAATTGAATTTGTTGTACTATTTTGGGGTTAATTTTGCAGAGTTTTAGTTGCTTTCACCTCGTCAATCTGTTATATTTTTGAAGAACCTTAGGAACTAGTATCACCCCACATTAAATTAAGAGTTAAAAGAATTTCATTGTTTTTAGTTTTACTATAATAAAATGTTCACGCAATCTGCTAAAAATTAGTCAATTTTTTTATAAAAAAAAATGTAGATCTTTTACATCGGACCAAACAATTAATCGATGTAAATAATATATTTTTTACATCGGGCCAATAAGGCAACCGATGTAAAAAATTGCGTTTATTTTTTTGAAAAAAAATTGTACTTTTTTCACATCAGACCTAACAGGAAACCGATGTGGTAGGTGTGTTTTTCACATCGGAGTGTTTCCTTATGTAAAATGCCTTTGATTTACTACATCGCCTGACTTTACATCGGACTCAGGCCCGACGTAAAATGTGATTTTCATCCGATGTAAAAAGTCTTTCCGGAACTAGTATCGACAAGACTCATGGCAAGAAGTCTTGGTCGAATCCCCATAAGAATAAATTCGAAGATAGATCTTCTGAATCCTTGAAAAAGGGAGGAGGAAACTATCGAAAGGACAAAAAAGATAAGAAAGGCATGCAGTTTTATAACTGTGAAAAGTAGGGACACTTGGCTAAACATTATTGGTACAGGAAAGACAATGGATCGACAAAACGCAATGACGAAGGAGAGAACCTTGCACACCAAGATTCATATGATTCTAAAGGAGGTATGATGGTTATGGGTGCAGTTGCAGATAACCATGTCGAATCCAAGATCTGGTTCCTCAATTTAGGCTGCTCGAATCACATGACTTGTCGAAAGGAGTGGTTGGCAGACTACGACAAGTCAAAGAAGAGTAAGGTAACACTTGCTAATAATAGTTCTTTGCAAGCAGAAGGTACTGTCAACATAATTTTTCAAATGTGTAATGGAGGAAAATCTATGTTTAAAGATGTTCTCAATGTACTTGCATGAATTGCAACTTGCTAAGTGTTGGACAACTGGTCAAAAAATGTTTCTCAGTTGTTATGAAAGATAGAGCTTTGAAATTGTTCGACACCAAGAATAATTTGGTCTTAAAATCTTCTTCGAAGAACATGACATTTAAGACTATGATAAGTTCGACAGAAGTCAAACCAAATGTGAAGTTGGGGAAGAATAGAGAGGAAGACAAAGTCGATGAAACTTTGTTTAAGAAAATTGTGGGATCTTTGAGGTATGTGTGAAACAGTCAACCTGATATAGGTTTCGCAGTCAGATTAGTAAGCAGATATATGAGTGAACCAAGAGTGTCACATAAGAAGGCTGTAAGAAGAATCCTAAGACTTTTGAAGGGTTCAATAAATTCTGGAATACTATTTCGACGAGATTTTGAAGGCAAAGAAGCAATAGTTAATTGTTTTCAGATGTTGATTGGTGTGGAGATAAGGAAGATCGAAGAAGCACAACTGGATATTTCTTTCAAGTATTTAGTGCCCCGATATCATGGTGTTCAAAGAAGCAACCTGTGGTGGCATTGTCATCTTGTGAAGCTGAATATATAGCAGGATCATATGCTGCTTGTCAAGTAATTTGGATCAGACCGGTACTTGAAGAAATGGTTGTCGAAGTGATGAAACCTCTACTGTTGCAAATCGACAATAAGTCAGCCATAAATCTGACGAAGAATCCAGTTTTGTATGGAAGGAGTAAGCATATCGAAGCTAGATTTAACTTCCTAAGGGAAAAGGTAAATCGAGGTGAATTTGAAGTTAGACATTGCTCAAGTGAGCACAGTTGGCCGATATCTTCACCAAAGAATTCAAGATTGACAGATTCCTGAATTTGAGAAAGAAATTAGGAATAGTTCAGATTGACTATTTTTGAGGATGTTCGACAACTTAGATTATAAAGGTGTGTTGAAATATTAAATTAGATTTGTTAAAATATTATATTTGATTTGATTAGATTTAATATTTAAATATAATCCAAGTTGTGTAGATCCAAGCCCAATTAGGGTTGTATATAAATAGTCCTTGTTTGTATTATTATTTATACAATTCAATAATATAAATCCTTATGTCTTTTATTATTCTCTCTTTCTCTCATCACTAAAAGTGCCTCACGCACTAACAATTCAATCCACCTCTAATCCTTGAAGACACAAATCTCTCACGTTATTAGATTTATTTTAAAAAGATATAAGAACTAAACTATATATATTATTAGTATACATAGGTAAACTGAGCAACGACATAAGGTGTATCTATCTCAGACATAGAAAAACGGAAAACAAAAAATAACTAATAAAAAGCTTCAAACATCCAACAACAAGAGGGTGAAAAACGTTTTAGACGTTGTTTGGAACATTAAGGTCACAGTGTGGAGATGGTCTTTCATCGGGGATATTATTCATCTCAATTTTAATTTTTACGAGTTTTACAAAAATCCTTTGTATTATTTGTCTTAAGTCGCAATTGGAAAGTAATCTATTTGTTCTTGCGATTTTCTCTCGTTATTTTGTAATTGGGATTGAGTACCCATAATATTCTTATTAATATATCTTGCTTACAGAAAAAAGGGTGAAAAACAACCCCAGAACAAAGTCCGCTAAAGGCCGGTGGAATAGGGTGATGGTTAGAGTTCTCCAAGTTAGAACGAGCACAAGCGGCCACCAAACTCCCAAAAAACACCTAAAAAGATATTCAAAGGAGGCTGAAAACTCTAAAACTGCTATTGACTTAGGTGCAGAATATGATTCACAAGTTAGGCGGAGAAAGCACAAGAGTTATCTACAGACCTACCAAGATATCATTTCTAAACCGATAGGATACTCATATCTTTCATGTATTTCATTGTTATTAACGATCCTGACAAAATCTTATCATTCAGAGATTTTCAAATAGAACAAACTATAACATGTTAAATCATCGAAAATCCCCTAGTCCTAGACACTCCACTGAGAGAAAAAAACATTTGGAAAAAAATGATAAAACATCTCTCGATTTTGTGCTAAACAGAAACAACTGACTCACGTGTCATATGTGAGAACAACTCAGGAGTCAGTGAACAAAAGGGACAAGAGAATGAACCTGGGCCAAGGGGGACTCTCCTTTTAAGCAAACTCTCTATAGTGGAGATCATATCCTAAAGGAGTTTTCAGGAAAAGATCATAACTTTAGAGGAAACCCAACTACTCTAAATGTTAAGGACTAACTCAATAGAAGTGATATGATGATTATGAGGGATCTCACAAGCCAAGAGACATAAAAAAGATGAGGCCACAAAATATTAGTCATCCTTGACATGACGCCACCTTCACACATACCTTGAAAGGAAGAAAACAAATCCTAATCACCGATAAAAGGTCATATCCATAAAAACCCACTTGTGGTTGAAAAGGAAAGAACGTCTCCACTTAACATCACAAGCCCTAACCTCCCCCTCCCACCTACCAATCTCCCTCAACAATATATGTGATCACTTTTTAAAAACATAACTTTTCTCTCAAAATGTATCCAAAGTAAACGACGAACTCCCAACAAGATATCTTGTTCCCATTAGATCCACGGTATAAGGGAAGCATATGAATATCAAGGCAAAACGTTATATAAAAAATGAAATAAATAAACTTTTATATTTAATTTGGCCAAATGGAAATTAACTTAAAACCAATTTATGCTTATTTATTCATACAAACCATGAAAAAGTAGCTTTGAACATGTTTAAAAAATTGTATATAGAGATAATATACACATAAAATATCATGACATACATGCAAGATCAGACTGCAACACATGTTGCTTTTGCTGTCTTCTTAGCTCTATTTGTTAAACATCTTTTAATTTCAAGGATATGCCAGAAGAACATAAAGATTATGCATGTTTGAGATTTTTTTAATAAAAAATCATTACATATTTTTTTCAAAGATCTAGTATAAAAACAATTCAATTCAATACTAATAATCTGACATGCATTAAATTAATTTGATGAAAGTAAAAAATGAAAGCAATAATATATCTGGAGTGAAGTAAAAAATGACAATTTGTCAAAACAATACACATCAAAATCACTATAATATTTGTCCATTTTCTTTCACTTTCATTCTCAATAAAAATAAAGAAACCCTACACACTTGCTTCCTGTCTCATAATGCCAACTTGATATGATGAACATCTGTCATATGGATCTGTTTGGTTTATATTTCTTCATGGCACCATCAATACAAAAAACAAAAAAAATTTAACATAAAAAATTGACAATATCTATAATTTCTATCACCTAGACATGAAATTAAACATAAATAACTGAAAAAGTTTGATCTAGTAGTAACTAGTATTAGTACATATACAGATCTTAGATCTAGACAACCTCAGATGTTTCAGATTCGAATTCAGCCGTCATGCCCTTGAAATCTTAGATGGTCTCCACATCCTAAATAATTTTTTATCAAAAAAGAAGAAGAAATTAAACATAAAATTATAACTTTCTTCCTGTCAGTAAAATGGTGTAATTTGGTGAAGAATTTTGCTCTAAACAGTGAAAACTCAAAGCCCTAAAGATAAGGTTTTTTCATAACCGACAAATGATCCAATTGGTTACTCTCTTATCTCTAGATGGGTGGTGTGTATGCACTTCCAAACAATAAAATAAACTAATAAAACAAACCATGTTTCTTGGCAGTATGAATCAAAGACAAACTATAGGTGTTTCCAGATGATTTTAATTAATTAGTAGTACTAAAACTAGTACAAGCAAGTTGACTGAGTATATAAAATCAAAATTCATTGACTAAATATAAACTAGTATGGTTTTGATGAAGTAACTGTTGGATACCATGCTGAGAAAGAACAAAGAAGAATCCCTATAAGAATAATGTAAAAACAAGTATCTGGAAAAACATGAATGAAATTTGATGTATTATTATTACTATATAGCTGGTAAGTTTATGAATGAGATTTGATGTATTATTGATTTTCTGTACTGAATCCCCAATTTGAAAGCTAGGGTTAGTGTTTTCATTAAAAAGGGAAAACAAAAAAGACTGAATCGAATCGAAACGACAAAGACTGAATTTATGTAAACCAGATCTTAACATCAAGACTAGTGTCTCAAAAACTAAAAATATAGGTAAACATAGTAGGAGAAGATGAGGAGGAAAGAGAGAAAGAAAGATGGTGGTGGGGTGACAGATAAAGAGTGAGCACGCATAGCTTCAAGCATGAAACATCATCATGCAAGAAAATCACCATGTGTGCTCACTCTCTTCTGTCACCGCCTTTACCCTTAAATAATCTCGATGAAATTGAAAGTCTCCTCGAAGAACATGAAGTTTTTAGGCAACCCTCATTTGATGAATGGTATAGGTAGTATGGGAGAAGGCTATCCCTTGTTTCCTGTATATGGAACAAAGAACAGTATTGAGATGTGTGAAGAAATGAAGAGAGTGAAAGGGTTTATATAGGCCCAAAAAGGAAGAATAAATGTGAGTTTATCTTCATCCACCGGCCGTTCATTGATAATCTAAATATTTTACAGGGAGAAAAAAGTGAAAGCATAAAAAAAAATAAACAAGTGTTGAAAACTTTATCTTTACGATCTCTATCCCCGTATGCAGCTTGCCCAATTACTAACACATCATGTGATTCTCAATAAATTTTAAACCCTCCAATCTTATTATAGCCTTTCTTTGGTTTCCATAATACTACTGTTATATTGCCTTCAAATATTAACCTTTTGGACTTTTAGTTACTATTGTGATATAAACACATTTAACCTCTGCTTAGAAAATGCCATTTTTTGAACTAAAATACTTTTTTATATTTAAAAAACATTTGTTGGATAATTGTCATTTTTTATGAGTTTATAATTTTTTATATTAATTATAGTAGTTTATTTTGGTAAACTAATTCAAGTAACTTAAGAATTATAAATTTCAGTAACTGCAATTTCTATATCGAAGAAGAGATGATAAACTATGTTTTATTTTAATATGGTGATATGAATTTCATTTAGATTCAGGTTTGAATTGGATTCGTATGGACCACAGGTCCATGACGAGAGAGGAAGAATTAAAATGGATTATTAAAAACTTAAAAGGTAAAGATTGATGCGGATCCTTTTTCAAACTAGCGGCTATAAAGACTGTTTATGCAGCTTGGGACTATAGAAATTCTATATGTTTTGGGAATCATATTGATAGAAAAGTACGGTAAAAAGAATTATAGATGTTATTGTTTATTGGGGATGGTTTAATGTTAAACTTAAGCCTCATATAATTTTCCTTATGATGTATTAGTTCTTGTTGTTTTGTGAGTTGGATTCTAGTGATTACCTTATACTTAATGATGTTTTTTTGAATAATATCTTTTTTTTTTCAAAAAAACTTAAGAATTATAAATTATCATTGTTTCTTACAAATTTATTGCTATTATCTTAATTAAAAAATATTAAATATTGATTTACAACATATATTTTTACGTCATTTAACATGTATATAAATTTGGTTTGTGACAAAAAACCGGCGTGGACAATTTGACAATTAATATAGAAAAAATGCAACTTTTAAAAAATTCAATTGTATAGATACTCTCGTATTTTAAAAAGTAGGCAAATAATAGTTGTATGGCTCAAATCTCACTCATTTAGGAATTTAAATATTGAACATAATTTGAGTTGGACTTCCCTTATTCTCTAAAAACCAGAATTGTCCATAAAAACCTCCATCTTTAAGCTTTGAAGTCCAAACCCTTTGAGTCTCCAAAACCTTGCAAGTTTTCCCTAAATAAATCATCCACATACTTCATATATATCATATAGAAGTTGTTCAAACACAAGAGAAACTTATGTATCATCACTATCACCATTCTCCAAACTCAAAAACAGCCACTTGACCTCTCTAAGACAATACATCAACTTTAAATCAAAACAAAAATTTCAATTTCAAGAACTGACTCATATATGCAGTAGAAAAATGTTGGAAGTAAAAAATAGCAGTATGATTCGATGCATAACTCTATGAGTCGACACATATTAGGTATAAAACAGGTTATGAGTCGATACAAAACGTGAATGAGTCGATGCAAAACAGAAATGAGTTGATACATATTATTATGTGTCGACTCATACTGAGTTGGTTTTGACTTCCAAGAGAAAATAAATTATATGTATCGATGCATAAGTGTATGTGTCGATGCAAAATAGGTTATGAACCGACGCAAACCTTTATGTATCGACTCATACTGAGTTGGTTTTGATTTCCAAGAACAAGGAATGATATGTATCGATGCATAAGTGCATGTGTCGATACAAAACATATATGAGCCAATGCATAAGTACATACGTCAATGCATAAAAGTTTCCGTATCAATGCGTAAGTGTATGTGTCAATACATAAAAGTTTTTTTAAAACAATTTTCTTTTTTTTACATTATCTTTATATTTCTTTATATTTTTATTTTTATTCATTATTCAATATGGTTTATAATAGTAATTAAGTTTTAATTGCTTTCATTCCCCATTTGTAAATTTGTATCCCCCATCCCCAAAAAAGATGTAATAGCGTAGAACTTTAAATTTATGCAATTTATCGCTTTTAATATAATTGCTAGTAATTAAGGTGTGTATGGCAAGACTAAAAATCAAACAATAGAGAACCCTAATCTCAAGACAAAAATGCATGAAAAAAAACACTTTGCACACTTGCACCTCTAGGATTAACCTCACTTGTTGCCTTGAGAAAAATAGTCATGTCCCTCGAACGTGAGATACTTTAGCAATGACCCTTGAGTACAAGATCGTAGTCCCTCGATGACCCTTCAAATGTTTCCTTCTGTAAACGATCTTATACCCTTATGATAAATTTCTAAGGTATCCTACAACGTTGCCTTCTATGACTATACGACGACCCACACCCGTCTCTTCACATCCAATTATAGAGCTTCTTATCAATCAATGGTAAGATAGCAATATCTAAAGGAGGAGGAAATGAACAAAGACTTTTTGAGTAGGTAAAACGTTCATAGTTTCTTGCTCACAACCTTCTTCAAAACATCTTTCAAAATACACCAACACTTTCAAACATGAAATATTTTCAAAATTCAACACTTTGTATGCATTCTGTGATACGGTGGGAGAACTGACTTGATTGTTTTGCGTTTGTGTTCGCAAATGTTGCGGTTTAGCAAGAGTCTCCACCGACTTTTCTTTTATCCAACAAGGAAAGGTGAAAAAGAACAGGAAAGACCTTTAGAGATGTTTTCTTGAGTTCGGGGGTAGATTATGAAAAGAGAAGGTATTAGCACCCTTTTCATCCATGGTTTTCCATGGACTCTTAGTTGCTTGCTAGATCACTTGCTTTTGTTTGAATGTGTGCTTGTGATGTGGGTTTTGAAAGTATTTTGAAAATGTGACTTTGTAATGATTCTCGTCTTTATAAGAATGCATACAAAGTGTTGTTTCGAAAATAGTTCAAAAAGGTGTTTGTGAAATGTGTTTTTGAAAGTGATTTTGAAAAGGTGTGTTTATAATGATTCTCGTCTCTATAAGAACGCATACAAAGTGTTGTCTTTTGAAAATGTTTCAAAATGAGTGTGTCGGTGTATAAAATGTTTTTGTTGTGAGCAAGCAAGCAACTAGGAACGAATCTACCTACTCAAAAGGTCTTAATTGTTCTTTTCCTCCTCCTTTAGATGTTGCTATCTTACCATTGATTTGGTGAGAAGCCCTATCGTTGGATGTGAAGGGACGAGCGTGGGAAGTTTGTATAGTCATAGAAGGCAAACTATGGGACATTTTAGCAATGTCGTTTAGGGACTAGATCGTTTACCGAAGGCAACATCATGGATCATCGAGGGACTACGATCTTTTATCGAGGGTCTTTTGCTAAAACGCCCATTTTTGAGGGACATGACTATTTTTCCTATAGGCAACAAAGTGAGATTACCCTAAGGGTGCGTGTGTGCAAATGTGTTTGATTGCATGCATTTTAGTCTTGATTAGGGTGATCTATTTGTCAATTTCATGTCTTGCCATACACACCCTAATTACTAGCATTTACATTTGAAAGCGATAAATTACAGAAATGTAAAGTCCTACGCTATTACAATATTTTAGGGATGGGGATACATATTTACAAATGGGGATTTCAAATAAAATTAAATCCTAAGTTACTATTACAACCATATTAAATGGGTAAGAATGTACAAGAAAATGTGAAATGAACTTGTTTAGAAAATGGTTTTTTAGTCTTAATGAATTAAAAAAAAGAAATAAGTTAATTAAATAATAAAAGAAAAAAATTTTATGTCTTTTTATGTTAATAAAAAAGGGTTAATATAAAACATGATAAAAAGGAAAATAAATGAAAGAGTTGAAACAGTGTGCTGCTGCGAGCGAGACAACAGGGATCAGAAGTTCTGAAGTCAGGCATATGATGGCTCTGAAAGGAGCGTTAGTGGGCATCAGAAGTTCTGGATCGGTAAACTCTGAGATCCTACAAAACACGTTAGAGGGAAAACACGGAAATTCTGGGTGGTATTCAGACAGTGAGCCAAAAGTCAGAGGTTCTGTATTACACTAAAACAATGAGTAAACATCAGGAATTCAGTGTATTGTCAGCATGTAAAAATCAGAAACTCTGAGTGTTTAAAACAGCGAGGGGAACCATCAGAAGTTCAATGTGTTTGATATGTAGGGAGAACTCAGAAGTTTTGTGCTGTGTTAGAACAGTGAGTCAAAAATAGAAGTTCTATGTGTTAGAATGGTGAGTGAAAAACAGAAGTTTTGTGTTACATTTCAACTCTTTCCTTATATCAATCAGCACAACGATAACTTAATCAGTTTTCAGCAAACAACAAATCAGAAGGATAAAAGCACAACAATTTATAAAAGTTTTGATCCTAGTTCTGAGTCTAACCTTAATCAGGAAGTTCTGATCCACATTTTTCCTACTTACGCAGTGATACGGACAATATCAATACTATGGCATTTACATGTTTGATGATGTTCTGAATGAAAAGATGCAGAGTCAGGGAGACTTACCTTGAACCTGGAGCGTGTGTTTGGGACTTGAGCTGCTGCCTTCAGGTATTCTGGAGT